CATCCCCCTGCGAAACTGATGGGAACCCATGAGATCCAAAGTAGAATCTAACTTAATCTTCGACAGCGCCAAGTAGACGAGAACTCGCTCGAAACTTTCTATCCAACCGTCCGAACCGACACAACTGGAGCGAAACTTCCAACGGGAAGCCGTGTGATTCGCCGTACATTTTGACGAGGATCCAGGGGGATGGTCTTCTGGTCCTTCCCCTTAAATTTTCAAATCGTATTTTACCCCCATCGCGAAACGAAGAGAATGAGACATCCGTTAACGATCCAGCGAATTGAAATTTCCCGGGATACCCTTTAATCTCGATTAAAAGCGGATTGTTCGAAAGGGGGGGCGCCAAGCTGCTGCCGTTCTCGTTGAAAGTTTCGTCGTGCATAGGAAATTAGGTCGTTCCTATTTAGGAGAACGATCATTCCCAGGCGAGTCGAGAGGGGAAGTAGGACGAGACAGGTGAGCGAAGAAGAGACTCGGCGACGACCCTTCCAGGTGAAATACAAGAATTTTGTCCCGTGATTTTCTGCGTGTCCTATGGAAGAGATCAGGTAAACACCGTGAAAAGGAGGGTTCTTCGCGTGAAGGCTACCGAATTTCCCATATATTTCAGGAGAAACTCGATTACCCCCCGTGTTTCACGTGCCGACAAAAGGGGAAACGGAAACTTTCCCTCGGTGTTATTTAGGCGGAAAAGCAGAAACTGCGAATATGAAGTTCGAGGCGAGAACACGGGCTTGGCAGGTCGCGTGAATAGTATAAATAAGCTTGATTACGAGGAACCCGCTCGGAAGGTTGTTCGTGATCCGTGCTGGTTGAGGCATAATCCGCGGTGATGGAAGCCTGGGCAGAAATAGACTTCGAGCGATTCTCTTCTATTTCGTCGCTGTCGAGGTTCAATTCTCGAGGTCTTCTGTGCTGACGGCTCTGTCTTCTGCTAGAGTATTCGTTTATCGTTTTCGTTATGTGGGTTTTGTAGATCGTGTGAAGGGTCTAGTCAATTCTAATGAATCTTCATTACTATGGTAAAAGTCTTTGCAAACCCTGGATTGTAGTGCAAGGTCTGGGGATCGTTAGAGCTTTTCTGCCAATTTGTTACTGATGGATCTTCAACTGGGTTTTATATACTTCCTATATGTAGATTAGGAAGTGTACAGGGTGTTCGAAAGAATGGGTATAAGACTTTAGGGGTAGTATTCACCGAGTGGAGTGAAAAATGTCTAATCAACATGGGTCCTGAAATCAATCCTTTTAACGTCTTTAAGTTTAAAGAGAATTTAACGTCTGTCTACTGATTTTGGTAATGTTCTAAAGGGATGTACGGAGTTCATGAGATCGGTTTCTGGATCGTGGCCGTGGGACGAACCGCTCGGACGCCCCTCAAGCCCTTTAAATCGTTGACTAACCTAACTCAATTCTGCCCTCGTCTCGTCTCGGAGGCCATAGAAAGGAGACATTTAAATCTCGGTATCCCTGTGGGAACGTCCGGCGTCCACGTCCTGGGGGTTGTCCTCGGTTGGGGGAGAAAAAAAAAAAAGAAAACAATGAACTCGTTTCTGACTGGTCTAGAAGTCTAGACTCTGGTGTGTCGATGGGGATAAAGAAAAAAGGGAGCGCGTCTGATGTATGAGGCTTCTAAAAAAAAAGTGGCCTATCGTGAAAAAATCGTCTGGTCCGAATGAGGGGGATGGGGGAACGGGGTACGATGGCATTCGACGGTTTCCTGGTAGACTTGTACGAATGGTGATCTTAATCGGGACTGTTTTGTCCCTTTTTATAGCCAAATTAGACAATTTTCATTACCAGACCGAGAATATTTTTGCATTTATATCAAATATGGAGGTTCACTTCATAGTGGAATAAAAATTTGAACAAGGAGCTAATAACATCTTCACGATATTTTATAGTTTAATCAATTCAAGGATTTGTTGGTAAATACTTTTTCAGTTACGAGTATCTAATTTTCTCGAGACATTAAAAGGGTGGTGATATATCAAAATAATCCAAGTTAATTTGTTAGTGTAAGCCATATTTCACGGGGGAAATGCAATGGTATTTGAAACTGTACAAACGTTATTTCCGCGACCAAATGGAAGATTCAACTTCTCCGAAGACACTTCCTTCCATTCCGCCATTTATCAAAAGAGCTGTATCCTTCATCGCCCAGGTAAATACGATATATCTACGCAAACACCATTTCCATAAGCGGACGCAAATTCTGTTTCCCAACTACTCCGCTCCGAATACCAGGCGCGTTGTTACATAATTCATAACAAGAACAGTCTTCTCTGTTCAATTCCCCTCCTCCCCCCCCGTACCAACCCACAAAAAATAATGGCTTCGAGCTTGCTGAAACTTCGCCCAAGATTGCCACCCCCTGTTTCCGCTATTCTAGTCAATTTCGTCTGGTTCTCTGTACGTTGATTCCCCAATTACTATCGAGGGGAAGTATAAAAGACTGACGTGCCTATAATTGATGAGACGATCTGGCTCCTTCCAAGCTTGCTGGAAGTTTCCACTAAGTATCAAATCAGCTGTCTTCTTCTTCGAGACGTTAATTAATTTGACAAATGCTTGGACTTTTCACGTACACTACCCCTCATAGGTACATATTAAGACACATGGATCGAGATTTGTAAATCCCCTAAACAATATTTCTTTCAGACTTTCAACAATTTCATAATGCCCTGTAATCTTATGCAATCTTAGGACATATTCGATGAGTGTTTTAATACTTATGAGCGTGAGTATACTTACCAAATGGATTAAATTATCCTTAATCTGATTATATTATTCTCAGAATGTCTCAGTTGTCTTTCTTTTGCGAAGTATTCATTGACCAAATGTAGATTCCTGAATTGGGATGTTATGAATTATTGATCGGTGCGGTTCTTTTTTTCGGAGATGATATTCATCGGGTTCCCACGAACAGGTATGGTCAAAGTATCCCAACACGACGACCCTCGAACACTCTCCCAGAGCCAGGAAGACTTAATTTCCTCCTGAAGTCAACCGTCCCTTTAACCTTCGTATTTGCTACAAATTTCCTCCGACGTTCCCATCGATTCTTGAAATACTACCCCATAAAGAATCACTTAATCGAATGCCCCTGATGTTACACTCATCTTTCCCAGAACAAGTAAACTTTACCGACTCTTGGTTCTCACCGGGTGATACGATCCCTCGATGGTCTTCCAGGAGTCTAAAACTAACCCTCCAGACTTTAACTTCTACGAAACATCTATGTACATTCACACCTAAAATTAACCATCCCCTAATTCCCTGACATTCAATTCCAAAAAATAAATGTCTCCCAAACACCTCTCACCCTGCCAATTCTCACACTTCCACGGAACACACAGAAATATTCGCACCTAAAATTGCCCAACCCCTAATTCCCGTAAATTCCCAAAAACTAAATAATACTCATCCAAGTCTCACCCCGCGAGTTCTCACACTTCCATCCTCCAGACCTCTCCAATCATTCCTCTGCACAGAATCTTCCAATTTATCGAAAAATTCCTCTATCTACCTGTCAATATCAGAAATATCCTCCCCTAAGGGTATCATCTGCCATCAACTCTCGCCTCCGATCTCCCATTCCCGCTCACAGCCACCGATCCCCCCCGAAACGTCCCACAAAGTGTCGTTTAATTGAACACCCCCTGCGTGGACGTTATCCACACAAGTTCCCAGGAACAGGTACGAGAAGCACATACATACTTGCCCAACCCGTCGACCCCTCCGACCCAGTGGTTGTTCTCACTAGGGTGTACGAACCAGAAAGGCTCGCCTGTATACGCACATACACAGAGAGTAGAAGGGAGAAAGAGAGAGGCTCGTGCGAAATTCGATGATTCGCAGGACGCGGATGATGGGGCGGGCAGCGACAGGTAGTTCCCATGGGAGGCTGACGCCGTGGGATTCCCACAGGATAGAGAAGACCGAAACCGGGCCACCGAGTCGAACCGAAATTCCGGTCCACACCGTCGCGACTACACGATTCTTTTTTCATTATCATTCTATTCTGGCTCAGTTTCGTTCGGTCAGTCCGGCTTTTCACCGCGATTCTGGTTCCTTTTATCTTCTGTCCGCCACTGGATGATCCAGGAGGACCACGAACGGCTGGTTCCAGGAAAAGTCGACTGGTTCAGCATAAATCATACACGCGGAACTGTTCCTTTCTGGAGAATAATGCCCAGCAGGACCGTGTTTTCTGATGGCGAGGTGAAATTTAAATTGGGAACCTTGCGCGGCGAATTCTTGGGCAGATTGGAGAAAATAATATTTGCATACAGTCACGTTTTTTTTCGGGGGATAATTGGATTGTTCCTGGACATTTTTATCGACTCAGTCTGTCTGGGATCGATGGAAAGCTTTATGGAGGTATATTTTTTTTTATTGTAGAGTGTGCAAATACGTTCTTCTCATCTGGGTAGAATAATTAATATTTCATGAGTAGAGTGACGTAAAGCTACAAGGTTTAAACGTTTTTGTTGCTTTATATCGTGAATATTCAAGGAATTTTTACGAATTCTATTCGATGGAATGAGGGGTCCAGTGCAAGAGGAAGCTATGCCGCGCAATAGTAGCCTTGTAATATATTAAAGCTTTCATGAAAAGTACAGTAAATCCTCGATGAATGTTCGAAGACCCCTCGGTCCTGACAAGAAGACTTTTCAACATTTTGTGGCACAGCTTTCTCTTGCATTGGATCCCTCAAATGAGAAGAAGGTATTGAATCATTCCTTAACTACATTTCAACCCCAAAATAGTCCACATAAATCTTCAAATAATCTCATCACCGCTAAAAAACATTTTATCTTAAATTAATCAATAGACTGCGGATTTTCATGCAAAATCACATTTTTGACAACCGTTCATTGTGCATATCAATCGATAGCAATCAAGCACTCAATTAACAAATCAAGCTCTGAATTATCAATCGAACCCTTAAACCGACACAATCAGCATACAAAACTTCCTCAATGTCTGCGTAGATGCCGCGGAACGGTTACTGACGTTGTTGGGCGTGGACGAGGACAACGAGGACCTTTTATCCTCCTCGGAGGACGAGGGGGTCGAGCTGGACGAGCTGGAGGACGACGAAGACGAGCTGGAGAACACCAGGCTGTTGCATCAATTGGCAGCATCCTTGGCTGCTGAATTGAAACAATCCAATCAGAAGGACAGTCCAACGACAAGGCTTCAATCGAGATCCATTCCGTGGGATCGAATGGACCTGGAGACTAGTTACCTGGAACACGATTGCCTTCAAGACGAGGACTCGAACGAGACGACGATGAGTTACCACAGTGGGGAGGTGAATGAAAAGTATCAGAGACCTAGCTCCTCGACCTCTTACAACAAAGAGTACGGTCTGACGGGGTCCTACGAGTGTCTCGATCATCGTTTGAGGATGAACGGTGAGCTGGAGAACATCAGAACCGATCAGGACCTGGTCCCAGCATCTTGGGGCGCTGGATGGGACGCCTGCGCCACGGAGGCTCTCAGATACCTCGTGGAGGAGGAGGGCTTACCACCTCATCATCCCACGGTCCTAGCTATGAAGGACCATCTGGAAACGCAGAGGGAACGGGTGTTCGCTCAGTACACCGCGTAAACGTGGCTCTCTTGGCCGCGATTTCTATCGGGGCGAGGGTATTTTTTTAAGGAAGCCTCCGCTGGCTGACTGGCTTTCGTCCGTGGGATATATGCATGTTTTCAGCGAGGTGGATCGCGATGTTTGAATCGATATTTGGAGGAGAGGGTGCTTCCTGTTTCGGCGTCGAGGAGGCGTTGGATCTGGGACGGGAACTTGGCTACTTTGGCACCTGTTACCAGTTTGTTTTTTTTTTCTTTTTTAGTTATTTGAAAGAATGTGTGTAGCGTCGTTTGGAGCTTTCTTTAACCCCTTGCCGTACGATTTTACTGATGTCTGCAGATCCCAGGATTACATTGTCATCGATAGCTTCCCAGAAACGAAAGGAATTCTGTACTTATCGTAACGGTATTTTTACTGTGAAATTTCAATATTAATGCCAGCAACGTGGCATTTCACTTCGACTCAAAGAAAACTAAAATAATATTCTTCTTTGTTGCATCGATTACAAGGCAAGGGGTTAATACTCTGGAGAAAATTGAATGGCTTGTGGCTCTCCTGAGACACTGGAGGTTGGCTTGACGTCTGCAGAAGTTTGACGAGGACAGATTTTACAATGAAAGTAAATGATATTAATATTTTGGATTTGATAAAATGCCTTGGCAGCCCGTGATCGTTCCCCGCGAAACAGAAGTTCCTGGTCGCGATAAAGAGGGAATATCTCGGTTCAGATTATAAAATGCATTCACCGTGTGTTTGTAAAGCAAACGAACGATTTCATGCCCCAGGGCAACGTGCGAGACTGTGTGCCCGTGTGTCGCCCGTGAAGTGGATACCGAACTTCTCCGTTGGACTTCTCTGGAGAATGTGGCTGTTCTTCGTTCCCGGGCAACTGATTTTTTCGGGGGACGAGCTTTCTCGCGCGGGTAATTGCCGTGAGAACTCGCGTGTGGCTTCGTGAACACTGACGATCGAACGTTGAATCTTAGCTGTTCGACCTCGTTTCTACTTAATGGGCGCATTTGTTGATTAGAATGTATCGTAAAACGATATTCATTGGAGTCTCGATATTCCTCCTCGATATTTGTGTTCGATTTTCTTAAAAGTAACATAAATATTCTTGGTGGAAATTGATTAAACACATTTCTTACCATAAGTTTGGGTAACTTTGACTAACAATCAGTCAGGAGTAACCTTGTCCTAAAGTCAGAGAATGATCACTTTCGATTCTGCAGCTATTTAGCAGGTGAAAAGGTATTTCATGTAGTAATCAATTTAATTTAACAATTTGCAGAACTACAAAATCGAAGAAGATAATTTTGTTACTTGGGACAAAGTTACCCTCACTCAGTCAAAATTATCTTAACTTACAATACTCGTTTGTTTTGAACACATTTGTTACTTTCTTCTTTTTTGGACTCTTTAGAAGTAAGGAGTCAAACAGGAAGGTTCTCAGACTTAAATCGCGTAGGTCAGCTAAGATTCACCGTCGATCGACCATTCAGTAACGAAACAGTCCCTCATTTTTGTACTAGATTATTTCCATAAAACGATACGAATCTCATCCAAAACATTGGTGAGGAAACTTGTCATAATTCAGCTCTACTGGATCCACGAAAATTTGGGGTTCCAACGGTTCAACGAGCTGAGAATCAAATGGAGGACGAACTTAACTTCCAATGGCGGATCAGACGGTTTCCATTCGACCGATTCTCCTCTGTTTCAGTTCACTTTGCAAAAGGGAGAAAGCCACTATACTTTTCCATTTTTCGTGGCGCCAATCGTTTCTTCGTTCTATCTTCTTTTTTTTTTTAATCTCTCCATTTATTGTATCGTCGTTAGCGCTATTAATAATCGTCGTCGCCTATTCTAATTAGCATTTATCGTTCTTATTATCATTATTTATTTTACACTTATCGTGCTAGGCTTAAGGGATTTCGCCGGATCGATTCTCGGCTTCACGGACACGCTTAATCGATCCATTGGACGTTAGATTCATCTCCGTGGGAAACGAATGTCAATAAACGAATGTCAATGCGAAATTGTTCATACGCTGGATCGATATGAACGAAACAAAAAGGGGGTGGTTTCACCCCCTTGGATAAATAAATTCCTCGAGGAAAAATGAGGATATAAAAAACATACTTCTGTCGAATTTTATTAAAGGAAAGAAAAGTAAATTTCACGAACACAAAGTTCGTAAGTATTGTCTTTAATATGTATTTCGAATAAAATTCGAATTTTGCTGTAATTGTTTTTGTATCCACGTTATTCCATTAAAATATCGAGGCATTCTGTCGAGATGAGCGTTCTATCAACCCTGCAAATGGGCAGATACTCGTAGATTTTTATCGAGCATCATTTTTTCCAAGCTGGTTCAACCCTCGGATTAAATTTATTCCTTCAGTGATATACGTGATTTGTAGCTCTTGAATCATTTTAGACATATTTCTGAACTGCTGAAAGGCTCGAATCAATTCTAAATAAGAAAAACGTGTTCATTGTTTGATCAGGAGGTTGAAATTCGGGGAGCCGTGGACAAACGCTGGAATCAGAATTAAAGACACCCCTTAGGAGAAATTTCGTAGGTTATTTTATCATAAGTACGTGAGACTTGAAGGAGTTGAGAAGAAAATTACGAATTCAATTGCTTAAACCTTGCATCGCGTTGAACAGTTTTTGCTGATCTTTAATCGTCTATTTAACAGTTTCTATTTATTAATTTCTACTAAGGATCCCCCATCGAGGACAAAATCTTTTCTGAAAAAAAAAAAACACCATAGCAAATGGAACTAATTTTTTCCTCGAATCGAGTGTCGAAAGGATTAATTAATGCGATGCAAGGTTCAACCAAAGATCGACGGGCGAATTGTATACGAAAAATCAGGATCCAGTGTCGTCGGTAGAACGAAAAAAAAAAAAATGAAAAGAATATTTTAGCCCATGAAGGCGTGTGTAGTAAGATTTAGTCGAGTTGATCGATTTCGATAGGCGTGTACGAAGGATAATCATGGATCATTAAATCGACACGAGTGATCGTTTCTGGTATACGAGAAATGTTCGACGTCGACATTGGATCGATCGAGGAAATCGTAGCGGTGAGAACATAGATCGCCGCGAGTGGCTCTGGGATCGACGAACCGACTTCGATCGCGAATCACTCGCCGGACAAATCAAAGTGAATCAGTTTTTTTGGAAAGACAATCGATCTCCGTGCGAGACAAGACGTTCGTTGGTGCGTTCGAAAGATTTTTCGATAAACGGACAATCCGTTTCTAAACGATTGACGAATGATTTGGCGCAGTTGGGATCGTTAGGATCGACTCATCCCTTGTACATATGTATGATATATCGTTTTAACTTATACACGACTATTGTTACTTTTACAATAAATCATTGTAGATAACATTGACCAGTAAATAAACGAGCGATAAGTTAATTAACTTCTTCCATCCTGAATGAAACCCAGAAGATTATTCATTTAGTTAACATATTAAATGGTACAAGACTTTCCATCTGGATTATTCCAACCTCTTAATTTCAATGATCGATGAACTGGATCAGGATGATCCAGCCCCTTCATTAATATTCGATGGAAAGATGGATGAAATTGCTGCTGATATTACTCTTCGAACAAAGGTACGATCATTCTTCCATACACCAAATCCATCATCCCGCGAAAGATCCTTATACAATCAAATTTCCCTCCAGCAGCTCACTGTCCATCCAACAAATTGCGTCACTGTAGAAGGATCGTTTTCCAGGTGATTTGTCCTCTTCAGCTGCGGTCCAGGTTGACCAGGTCACGGCTCCTAGAACGGATCTCTATCCAACGGGGCACAACAACCGAGAAAGGAGGGGCCCATGGATCGCTTGGTTGGAAACGGGGCCCGCAACGAAGGCTCTATCTGGCACGCGACCAGCTTGAAAAGGATCCCATCGGCTGTGGGTCTTTATCGGCCGTGGCGGCGGCCTCGCCTCGGGGATCTCTACGCCAATGGGGCATCTGGTGTCGGTTCGTAGCACATGCCATGCATCTGCTCCGTCGAGGTACTTTTGTTGTCTTCGACGTTCCGTCCGGCGAAAATAAGTCGGGGCTGCCTGTTACCAAGGGAATCATCGACTATGCGCCCTGGTACGTGTACACAGCCGACTGGGAATCCATCCGCGATCTACAACCGATCTAGACCCGATCTTTGTAATTAGCGTACCACTTTGTAAAGGCGGTGGTCCGGACGATCTCCACGATCCTAATCGGTCCTGTTTCTGCCCGGTTCCTTTGCGGCATAGGATCGAAAGGAGATCTAGAAAAATTGATGGTGATCGATGGATTTTTCTTGGATGCCCTCGAGTGAGATCGTATCTTCGCGTGCAAGTGGAGAATGTGGCTTTAGGTGCGATGACTGTGTGGATATGGAAGATTGGCTTCATGGTTCTGTACAACTTTATTATGTGTTTGGGAAAGTTGGCGAGTTTAAACTATCCCCTGACTTGGCCATTAACTAACTTAGCGTATAAGCAACACATATTGTTTATGATATGGCGCAAATTGCTTCCATATGGCGAGTTAGAGTAGTGGTATAACGTAGGCGATGGTGAAAGTTCGGCAATCTTCTACTAATAGTTAAGTGAATGGGTGCCTAGAAGAAGGGTGTATGTTACATTTAATAAAATTTACAGAAAAATGTAAAAACAGTAACTGGTGTAACATATGCCTTTCTTCTAGACACCAAGTATACAATAGTAAAGGATTTTATTTGACTTCGTGGTTCTTTAGAGGAATATTAACGATTCAGTGGACTGACTTCCTTTGTTGTGTGGAATCGATACACAGTGAGTAAACAAACCATTTTTCTAATACAATTTTATAGATTCTTGGATTGTACTAATCTAATTTTACATAATACCGTATTTTGATCATTATACGTATATTTAACAGTGAACCAACACTCGATCTCCAATGAAGCTAGCTGCTATGCTCACGAAGTATTAGGGTAAGTTCTCCAAAAGTTCACGGCGTA